GCTTGTTGTGCCGACCACAAAACTACCCCAGAACCTGCACAGAAATCATGTGGAAGCAAAGTGGTGCAGTCCACCACAGTGCGATTTGATGACCATAGTCGAATTCACTACAAAACCCGCTTCTAGTTCTGAAGGCCTCTATATTAACGTCCCAGAAACCCTAGAAATCCCTTATCCAACCCTTCCAAGAACTCTCAGAGAAATGCCCTGAAGGAACACTTTATTCAGGCCTTATTAAAACCCTAATGGAGGCTGGCCTCACTCCTTCTCGTGAGTACACGAGCGAACCCTCAATCCTACATTGACATGCTAAATGGTAGATACTAACGGTTCAGGGTTTACGGTCTAGGAGTTTAGGGTGTAGGATGAAGAGTGCTACCTAGACAGAAGCCGTGTAATGTCAAAACCCTCAAGACGAAGTGCAAAATCCTAAGTGTGTGCCTTTATGCTGGATCCCTTAACCTAAAGAATGTCACACCCCTAAAGCTCTTGACCCTTATGAGACTTATGAATATGTAATGCCCGAAAACCCAAAGCTTCAGGCCCTGAAGCCCGAAAGCAGAAACTTCTGCAGCCGGAACGCATGGCACTGAACACGACCAACGAAAAAGGCCCCTGCCTTACGCGGAGGATCGAGGGAAGTCAGCAGGTAGCTGAGGTGCCTTCTTAGTATATAGCTAGACCGTAGCTAAGGTTTAGTGCTTGGGATTTAGGGTTTAGGGTTTAGGGTGTAGCTACAATAGCGCTTTTGGAGTACGTTCCTGTGTAATTATGATACAGAGCCCTGAAGAATAGAATTGCTAGCTATGAAGGCCCCTTTATAAGCGCGGGTGTATGCACGGTAGCACCAACTCGCATATTTACAACCCCTACCAATAACCTAGTTGCTACATCCCTAAACCCTGAACACTAGGAGGAACCAGAAATCAAAAAAGCAATAGACACAATTAAGCAGCTGAAGAACCTTAATCAACGATGATGCTAAGCTTCGTCGGCTTCATGTTGATACACTGTCGTCAGCCCTGTTTCCTGAACAACCGGGCCATCCTATCACTCTCAGTTCATGTCAGAATTCGTGTTCCACAGCTTGGAGCCGGCTCAGGATCAGGGGAAAGCTTAAGCCTTAAACCCTCAAACAAAAAACACCTTGCAGTTGGGATACTTTAGTAAGATACTGAAGAACACGGCTAAGGACCGGCGTGCCGAAGCTCTTGGCAAAGAGTGCTGACAGACCTGGTTGCCCAAAGCCGTGAGCCCTAAACCCGAAACCCTGAACCCTAAGCCTAGGGCTTAAGGCCCTAAGCGCCGAAACCCCCTTCAAAAAAGCCGACAGCAACGCTTGGACAATTGGGTTTGCCAGTTCAGCCCAGACAGTCCCGCTCTTCAGCGAAGGAAGAGACGGTAAGATAGAAAACGGTTCGTTGACAAGGTGCCTAAACCCCTAAAGCCCTAAACCCCTAAACCCCTAAACCCCTAAACCCCTAAACCCCGAACCCTAAACCCAAAGAAGCTGGAGAGCCGAGACCCTTCGCATCGCCCTAAACCCAAGGCCCTAAACCCTAAACCCTAAAACAACCCTAAACCCTGAACACCCAAACCCTAAACCCTATAGCCTAAAGCCTAAACCCTTAACCCTAACCCCTAAAGCGACCCCTAAACTTCAGGGTCTTGGGCTCAGCAGCTGTCATCGACTTAGAGCTTAGAGGCCAAGGGCGTTTGGGGCTTAGGCTTTAGTGTTTGTTGGGAGCTTAGGGCTTAGGGTTTAGGGTTTAGGGCTTAGGGTTTCGTGTTTAGGGCTTAGGGTTTGGGGTTTAGGGTTTGGGGTTTAGGGTTCTGCCAGGGCACTGGACCAGCTGGCCGTTTAACTGCACCTCAAGACGAACGGCCAAGACCCAGGTTTCCCCAGAGGTTTCGGCTAAGGAGTGGGTGTAGTTTAGGGTTCTGTTTAGGGTTTAGGGTTTAGGGTTCAGAGTTTAGGTCTCAGGGACGGACAGGTCATCTGAACTTCAAGCAGGCTTCGAAGAATGTGTTACTGGATGCACTGCTATCCAAGATACACATGAATTGGGGTTTGCGAGTTGGAAAGCGGGCCTCAGGAGACCACATGCAACCAACCAGCACTAGCTTTGCAGATACACTGTAATTTGAATTTGAGGGACTGGGTTCTGAAAGCCCTACATCTATCAAAGACTGCTGGATTTAGGGCTTAGGGTTTAGGGGTAACTGTAGCTTAAAGAACTCCAGCTTGGGTGTCGGCTTCACGTACATCCAGTCTTCGAGCCCTATCTCGAAAGACAAACTCTCGCAAGGCCGCAACCCCGAAACCCCTAAACCCCTGAACCCTAAACACCTCAACCCTAAGCCCCTAAACCCTAAACCCTACATCACTAAAGCCTCGACCCCCATCTCCAAACCTAATCCAAAATCTTAGGTTCTTAACGCTTAGTCCAGTAACCGCAAACCTCAACCCTACGCCCCGATTTAGGGTTTACGGCTCAACGCTTGCAAGCAAGAGTTTAGGATTCAGGGTTTATGGTTTGCAGTCTAAACCCTAAACCCTAAACCCTGGACCGCGCTGGCGCCTTGATGTGCGCCTGCTGAGACTTTGAGCAGTGGCAGATCTCGGTGATGAATGCATTGCAGTGGATTTTGGGTCCTTGGCGGCTGCTTCGGGTTTCGGCTTAGGGTTTAGTGTTCTTTTTAGCACATGTTAGACCCACCCTCCCGACGAGCCCCCGGGTTAAGGGTTTGGGGTAGGGCCTGAGGACTCACATGTTCTGGCCTTCGGCCTGGCCAACCATTCGATGTACCTGATCGTACCACTTGCTGCGCCCTCCCCCACTGGGTTCTTGTGAAGAAACTTCACGTAAGTTACCATAGTAAGGATCCACAGTAAATAACATGGTTTCCTTATTATGGTCGCATAAACTTTGATCTTGAACAAGAACCGAGTCTGAATAAGTTGCAAGCCCTAGAACCTAAACCCTAAAGCCCTAAACCCGAAACCCTGAACCCTAAACCCTAGACCCCTAAACCCTTAAACCCTGTGCAAACCCTAAACCCCTAAAACCTTCTGCCAAGAGCCAAAAGGCCGGACTCTGAAAGAGCTGCAACATCCTACACAAACAGCCCCGCATCCCTCAGCGCAAAAGGTACTGACATCTATATGTGTATAAGTATATATATATGTGTGTATCTATGCATCTATATCTACATATCTAGTTAACTATCTATCTATCTATCTACCTATCTATCTATCTATCGATCCATCTATCCATGGTTATATGTGCGCATGTGTGTGTGTGTGTGAAGCTCTTTGTATAGTCTTTTTTGCGTACAAACACGCATACAGAGGGGCACAGAGAGAGAGAGAGGGACATATGTGTGTGTGTGTTTGTGTGTATGTGTATGTGTGTATATATATACATATATGTGTGTGTATGTACATGTGTATATATATGTATATGTGTACATATACATACATACATACATACATACATACATATGACATACGTGTGTACATATATATATATATATACATATAGATATGTGTGTGCACCTAGTAAATAAATAAATAGATATGTATATATATTTATTTATTTATTTATTTAATATGTACAAGGCTCATTTAAACCCTAAATTCCGAAAACCCACCTCCCAAAACTTAGAACCAGAAGCCCGGGACTCTCAATAGAAAGCCACACATGAACCGAAAGCCATTCGACCATACATTTAGGGGTTAAGGGTTTAATAAACCCCAACAAATCCAATGGAAAACCCAAAAAAACGCCAATATTGACTCTCAAGCTTCGTAGACCGTGCTGGTCCACGTAATCATTCAGATAGGTGTGGACCTGGCAGCAGCAGGCACTGAGGTATGGAGTTTGTGGATCTCTGTGATCAGTGCATATTGATCGCTTTTGAGATTCAGGCTAGGGGTTTCAGCGGCGCATGCTTGCGAAAACCTACAGAACAGTAGTTGCTGACTCCTTCGTGTGCCGGGCCACCTACCCTAAGAACCGAAGAGTAAACAATCGGAGCGCTTTTTTCGGACTTGTTCTACCGGGTGTACGACTTGGCGTGCTTGAGGCTTTAGGGTTTAGGGGTTTTTTGAGTGTGATGACCTACGTCTGCCGGAGCACACGCACTTTGGTGGGTGAAACAAGAGACTTTCCATACCACACCAGAGGTAGAACTCACCGTAGTCGCCAGAGGCGCGTAGAAGCGAAGTACCGAGACGACACATCAAGGAGAACGACCACCATCATCCTCTACAGAACAACTACATGTACCATCATCATCCCCCTCCTCACTGCAGCCAACATCCTCCTCTTTATCCTCATCAGATCGTCCCATGGTACTCATCGCTTGACCATGTAGGGCAGAAGCAGGTGGAGGTTCTCATCTGCTGGACACCCTGGTTCTGCAGGAGGAGTATTGGGAGCCAAGACTTTGCAGTCCAGGATGCAGGAGGACATGCTCAGGTAGTGCAGGAACTCGTAGTACAGCGTGGTGATCATCAGAAGGTGGGCCATGTCCGGAATCACTTTGAGGAGCAAGTTCATCATCAGCAGGAGCACATGGGTCGGGATGTTCATGCTGCGAGCCGACGCTCTCTGTTTTGCCACGCCAGCAGGTTCTTGGCTTTGTGCTATCTGCACAAAGTGTTCAAGAGGAGGAGCAACAAACACCCTGTACTTAAACGATGCTTCCACTGCCAACGCAGTTAACCGATGACCTCTCGCTCCAGAGCAGTGGCAAGCACCACATATCTGAGGCATCTAAAAGGATCGATCCGAAGCATGCATTCAAGAAAAGATATCAGGGCTCTCCTCTCACCTGCCCAGCCTGGCTTTAGCCGTCAAGCTCTAGGGGGACGATCTTGGAACGGACAGGTTTGTCTTCAGCGCAGCCGCTGTAACTTTAGCCATCATGCGTTGGTGTGGCCCCAGTTGTAAGTGACTGACTGTCGCTGCTGAGTCCTGTAAATAAATCCGCGCTGTGGAGGTACTGGACCAGCGTCCACGCAGCAGCGTCTTTTCCATGCTACCATGGAAAAGAAAATTCCAGGTAGCACCGCCTCTTCGAAGGCTGTACACCGTCAAGAGGCCCGGAGTCTCAAAGAACTCCACTAATGCATGAAAAAGCTTTCTGAAAAACCGTTCTCCTCGAAAAAGAAGGCGGTCATCTGGATGCAATGTGGAGCAGGCCTCGCGCAGCCATTGCACTGCGACACATGATTCCACCACAACCATCTCATTCGCCCCTGTTCGCTTGCCGGTTTTGCTTTTTCCCAAACTGAGGACCGCCTTATCTCTCATAAACGTGATGTCTTTCCGCCGCAGGTTGTACAGTTCACCTGAGCGCAGCATGCAGTCGAAGCCAATTAGAAACCCAGCTGCTTCTCCAATGAAGCCCATAAGCACACACGCACCGGCAAACGCCGATGTCAGCAAGGGTGACAAAGGTAGCACGCGTAGGGGTGGCTCCAAGCGTTGCCACACTTTTGCTAACCGCCAGGCCTGCTTAAGCTTGCCGACACAAGCGGGCAGGTAAAACTGCAACCCAGCTAAAGCAAAATTCACCAGCGATTTGTGTTCACCCTCTGAGTAGGCAAACTCAATCCAGGCACAGATCGCTTCATCGAGGTCGTTCCACGACAGGCTATGCAACGTCATATCCTTGAGAAAAGCTAAAATATGACCGACTGCTTTAGCATAGCGTTCTTGAATCTGCGCCGAAACCATCTGAGACTTCAGATTTTGGCCCTTGCGACACCTTTTCCTCTCTTCTTTTTGAGTGGGCGCGAGCGCCCGCCCCATCGGGATGGTATATCCGACGGATTTGAGTCCGTTGCCACGTAACCGACTGCCAGGACCACCCCACTAGCCAACACTAGTGAGTTGAGTTTTCTGAGCCCGGTCTTCAAACGCGTACTGCTGCTTCGGCCCTTGGCAACAATGGAACAAACCACTTGATTGTCTATCAAGTGCAGGATACGGCAGCGACCATTGCCAGCTCGCCGCAATCTCCATTTGAGCCCATTAAGTACTGCCTGCAATTCAAGCACATTGATGTGAGCAGTATATTTCCAAGCATACCCATGAACCACGGACCAATGGAAAAGTGACGAGTTAATACCTGCTCTCGGCCATGCCCGTGCTCGAAAGGGGACTCCCACGTCTAAGCGCACATCTGTGCCTCCCTTCTCAGCTTGTCTGCAAAAGTGCTTCACTAGAAGTTGAGCCTCTTTGGTTTCCCAGGAGCCTTGGACAAAACGTGGGAAAAGCAACCACGAAGGAGGTGCATAAGAGACCTGTTTGATAAAAGTAGCATGGTCCCGTGGCCTCATAAGCCCAAACAATGAAAGCAAAGAGTGGCAGAGCATGACCAGAACATGTACGCACTGGGTTCTCCCCATCATGCGGCTTCCGAGTTCGAACTTCGATTGCGCACACATCTTGTGTGGAAGTGTGCCTTCAATGTAGCCCTTATCGAAACCCATAAGCACTTCTCTTTCAGACAAAGAAGGCAAGCGCAAAACACCTGACTTGTCTATCACCATAGCGCTCTCTTCATAACTAAGGACGGGCACTCGGAAGCTGTCCGCCTCCCAGCGTTGAATGGCTGCAGGTGACGCCTCAGCGATGCCAATTGGATTCTTGGGTGCCTTGGGCAAAGCTTTAGGTTGAGATAGCTCGGGCAGCCATCCACTACCCTTCCACGTGCTTCCGTGTTCAACCCAGCTCTCACACCCTTGGCGACACAACGGAAATTTCCAAGTGCTGAACCCCGCATGCGCGTCAATAGATTCACCTGTTTGGGCGACGGGGGTCCAAGAGCACCAAAACAAGCGTGGGCGACGGCACCATGTGAACCATTTGGCATCCACCAATAATGGCTCAAATCCCAATGCTTGACTGAAGCTCTCACGTTCTTGGGAACTCAAACTTGCGAGGCTCTCCACAAAATAATGTACTGGCACCATAAAACAGGATTTCAGCAACTTTATGACGCGTAAGCATTCGGAGAATAGCTGCATACCAGACGGCAGCTTAGGACCTCTAAAATCCTGACAAGGGCAGCTGATTCCAACCAATACAAGATCAATGTGTCCGCCCGTGGACCGTTGAAGTAGTTCCACAAGCTTCAAATCAACAGTTGAGATATTTCCCAACTCGATGACACCCGGCCACCGCCGACGAATCACCTTCTTTTGCTCACGATCTACCTCACTGCTTGCATAGCAAACCACTTGGCAGGGAAGGCGTGTGAGAGCTAACATCAAAGCCCCCACGTCATTGAAGATGGATATGACCACAACTCTAGGCCCTTCACCACAATCAACCGTGAGGTCCCCAGCTGGTTTGAAACTACGCACTTCGTTGTTTTCCAGCCGGCTCAACATATCTTTTCCTTCACTTGTAAGTCCCGCTGATGCGCAGAGGCCACCACCTCTTGTTGAGGCATCCGAACAGGTAACTAGGCCCGAAAACGGAGTTCGCAACGATCCCACAGCCAAGGGAAGTGCACAAACTGCTCTCACCAGCTCTCTCACAGTATTTTGGCTAATGCTTCGACGAAACCTGTATACATCACGTGGCCAACATTTGTCCAATATGGATAGTAAAGGACGTCGAAACTCGAAACACCTCACCAAACGGCCAAGGGCCATGAGAAGTGGCTTCACCCCTATGCTTGCCTGGCTCAGCACCCACAAGCACAACCACCCGGTTTCCAAAAGTTTTTCGGACGGTGGTCCAATAAAACCGGCTATGCCATCAACCTCAGCACCCATACGAATAACGCGTGGTTCACGTACATGGGACTTATCCTCAGAGACTTCCACTCCCACATGTTTGTAGGCTTCTTTTTGATGACGGTGCGTTGTTGACATTGTACCTTGAAGACGCTTCCAGATTTTCTGGTCAACAAACTCAGGACAGTCAAAATCATCAAGATAAAACTGAACCCAACCTCCATCTTTCGAAACTGCCGAGCTTGGCACCGGACGATCGCGCCGCCATTCCCGCTCCTCTCTGTGGCCTGCACCACAAGGTGGAGGAGCTAAACCGAGCCGCCGATGAAGATGCTGGAATAGACCCACGGCATTCACCCAACCCATTGGGATAACTGCCGCCGCTAGGAACACCTCAGAAACTTCAGGCATACCTACCAGTTCACCCGGTACCGGCCATTTGAAAGCCATGAACTTTCGCCATGCCCGGGGCAATGACCATGCATAATAAGCCCCCCATTGGTCTTCTCCCGACCACAACAGAACTTGATTCGGTTTAAGGTGGGCCCCCACCCACCCCGATGAACCGGCCAGTGTGGCAAGATCTCCTTGCATCAATCGTTGCAGCGAGTTGCTTGGGATCATGTTCATAATAAGGCGCGTCACCCTTATCTGTCCAATCCCAGGCACCCCCTTCTTAGGTACAGCAAAAGCCCCATTGAGTACAGGGGCACCATTGACGGTGAAGATTTCTGATTTGCTGATGGGCTCGAGGATACGCTTCTTTACTAGCAACGGCACTAGCTCACACCAATCCTCTCTAGTACAGTTCATCGAGGCACGCGGCAAAGGACTAGGCCATTTATCTCGGGGTAGCAAAGTAAGCTCCGGATCCAACAACCACTTTGCAACATCACCCTCCGCAATCTCACTGGCCTGCAAGCTGCCAGCAACCCCATCGGCAGGGAGACCAGGTAGTAGTTCCCCCACCTTCAAAGGAAGCGCATGAAGAACTTCGTCCCCCGTATAATCCACACCTTTGCATCTTGAGGGCTTAATCCACATCGTTCGTCAAGGGGATTTCTAGCAAAGTAGTCGCACAACTCGTCCAAATGCTTGAAAGCATCCGCTTGGCTTGCATTTCCCGGGAACTCACTGTCACAGAAGCTGCTATTCTCCCAAGATTGGTATTCGCCATTAAGCACCGCGACAATGAGCAATCGCCAACGTTGAAAACAGCTGGCCTTCACCAGCTTGCGCATTTGTTGCTTGCCCATATGCTTGAGGCACTGAGGGTCCCACATAAGAAGTCCCGTCGAGGATCGTGCCAGGTACCTGAACAATTGCAGAACAGCTCCTACTGGGGGGACGGGGAGTGGCAACACGTCCCGGCCCCTAAGATTTGGCGTGGCTTTTGTTTGCACCAGAGCGCTCACTCCGGCTAAAAACGATCCATCTCGTGGTGAACAAAGCAGGAGCTGCAGCATCGTGATACCCAACTGTAGTACACAACGCTTATGCGGGAGGCCCTCACCTAAGAGTCCACAAAACCTTTCATTGGAATAACCACCACAACCATCAGTGCACAAAGCTTGCAGTTCCACAAAGGCCCGTGATCGCCCGGCACTTTTCTGGCCAACACCAGAATCTGTACAAGTACTGGGGCCGTCACCCTTTTCAAAAACCCCCAGGCCATCACCTGGAGCAAGCGTCCCCGGGGACATCACCCCGATGTCTGACCCCGAGCTGTCTGGAACACTCGGTCCTTCCAGGCCTTCTTCGTCTCGTTGGGCTTCCGCGGTGTCCTTTGCCGGGCTTGTGACACCGACATCTGCATCCTTCCTGGGTTGGCCTCCGCCTTGTGCTCGTCCACAAAGGTCACCTTCCGCTCGTCCTTGGTGCGCACTGGACTCGACCTCCGCCGGGCCAGTGGCGATCGGCTCGGGGATGGTCGCTTCTCTTCTTTCTGCTCTTCCTCCGCGATGGGTTCCGTCTTCGGCTGCCAATGATATAAGGGGTCGCGCTGAGAGAGGCTCGTTGGCTTGAGCACTCCCCCGCGGAATCCCTAGCACAGCAGCTTCTCCGCCTTCGCGGTCTTGTGCGCCAACTCGCGGGCGTAATAAGTCTCCTCCGGCGAAACTCCGATCATCTCCTCTGGAATGAGCTCCAAATACCGGCCAAACTTATCACTGTTGTCCCGCAGCGACATAACCAGACTTTTAAACCTCTGCATAAGAAGATCCCCAGCAGCATCCACTTTGCCCTTCAGCAAAGCATCCAAGGCCTGGCACAACGTGCGGAGCTCGCGGTACTTGGCCTCCCCCATGGTCTTAAGGGGGTGAGTCGGCAGCACCATGGTGAGGAGGTAGCGGACCATGATGGGGGACATGGCCTCGGTGGAGTCATCCCCTGTGACCTGCCCCAGCTGATCATTCATAGACTGGAGGCCTGACAGAAGCAACTTGCCAGGCCGCTCCTCCGCAATCTTCCTCAACTTCTTGCGCCGCTGCTCCCAGCCAGAGCTGCCTGAAAGATCAAAGTCCTCTTCTTCATCCTCGGCCTCCTCGTCGCTGTCCTCGGAAGACTCGGGCTCCTTAGAGCCTCGGCTGCGGTGTTTCCCCAGAAGGGCCTTCTGGAGGTTGCGAACCACATTCGTTTGCTTCGGCTTCTTGGGCTTGGTTTTCTCGGCTGCTTCTACCGCCCGTCCAGCCAACACTGAACCGGGCCCGCGAGAGCGAGCCTCCTCCTTCTTCCCAAGAAGCTTCGCTCGAAGCACTCCCAGCTTCTTCTCGACCTTGCTGTCCTTAACCTCGCCCACGGAGTCCAGGCCATCATCCAGCATCGCATCCAGGGCCGCCGCCTCCTGCGCGGGCTTCGGCAATCCCTTTTTGCGCTTCTTTGTCGCCGGGCGGGCGGCCTCAACACCACCCGTCTCTTCGCCATCATCCTCCGCCTCCGGCTCCTCAACCTTAGGGGCTGGCAGAGCCTGCACACCGGCCCGTTTGCCACCACGCGAGTCTGGCACCAGGGCGTCCTTGGTATCACCTTCTTTCGCCCGTTCAGGCAGAAGCTTTCCAAGCCCCCAAGACTCCAGCACATCACTTGCAGTAGCCCTTGAAACTGGAGCCCACTTTTGGATATGAATAACATCTTTCATCCCAAAATTGTGGCTGCAGCGAGAGGCGTGACGACGGCAAACATGATGGTAAGCATCCCGAGGTAATCCTCCAGCTTTGCCCTCGTTATCAATGTACCAACGATAGTACGCGTTGTTGGTCCCAAGGTAGCGAAGGTCCAAAAACATGCCATCACTGTTCACCTCGTACCTTCTGATCACCTGGCCCACAGCCAAACCAAGCCTTTCAAAGCGCTCGCCCAGCACCTCAAAAACCAGGTAATCGAAGCTCGAGCCCACAGCCTCACGGAAGAATATCTCACCCATGGTCGCCCCATCGTGAAGGGGAGGAACGACATCCTCCCCCCTCGCCCCTCTGTCTCGGGCCCGACGGGCCATAACACCTGGTCACCGTGCAGCCGACACTGCACCCGCACAGACCAAGCCAACCATGAGCCCTGGACCTAAAGATCGTCCTCTCTCTTGGTCCTCAAAAGAGCTACATATGAAACGGCGTTCCGAACACAGCTACTCTCAGCATACACACCGCTACAATCAGACCTGAAATCAGGATCCTCTTTCCACATAACTCCAGGTAGTAAAACTAAACACCCTATACTTCTGCAACCCTGACACATCCTCAAGCGGCCCTTATCAATCCTTATTGAACCCTTGTAATGCCATAAAAGAGCTCAGACAGACCTCCCTAAAACTCTTTCATCGTTACAAGCCCTACAGAACCCTTGCGAAAAACTAAAGGCCCGTTATAAACCCAATAGAACCCTTAATTTGAAGAGCCCTATAGAACTTCAGCCCGAAACCCCTAGACCCTAAGACCCTGAGCCCCCCAACCCCTAAGCCCCAGCCCAAAACCCTAGGCCCTAAACCCTAAACTCTAAAGCCCTAAACTCAACCCTAAACCTTAAATCCTCACTTGGGGATATGAAAGCCGGACAGTGGTATTTCGAGATCCTTGCAACCAAAGCCAAAGCCCAGGACCCAGGTTCCCTAACCTACACCCAAAAGATCGGCCGGCCTCTTGCGCGTCTGGCTTCGAATGCCAACTCTCATCGTCATCTTTGACCCATGGAAAGATCTTTCCTGAGCGCTGTTACTTTGAAAGGGTTTAGGGTTTAGGGTTTGGGTTTCTTTAAGGGTGCTATTGGGGGTTCAACGTTTAGGGTGCTGGGTTTAAGGGGGTTTAGGATCGTCCTCTTTGGTCCTGTTTTGAGCTGACGCCAAACCAATTGACCCGCAGGTTCTACTTCTTTTTGCTTCTTTCTGGGGTGTTGGGGGTGGGGGCGTGGCAGGGGGGAGGGGGGTTAGTTTAGTTTTGTCTGTCCATCACCCGGCAGTCCTGGTGCCGGAGCCCGAAAACCTTCAAGGCTTTCCCAACTCCTAAAGACGTCTTGTGCTCCATGAATAATAGCTTACTGTGATAGTATACTATAAGACTTTACTATAATACCATAGTAGTGTACTAGAACAGTACACGATTATACTTTAATAGCGCGCAAGCCCAAACCCTCAAGCTCAAAACCAACGTCCCAAGCCTTGGCGAAGCGGTGCACGCCTAAAACCCTCAAGCCTGAAGCTTGAACCCGACATCCCAGGCCCTGGCGGAGCAGTGCAAGCCCAAAACCGCTAACCTTAAACCCAACACCAGACACTCGCAACATGCACCGAAATCCAAAAAGCCATTTTTATCCGGAAAACCGTAAAGACATGCTGGCGGACACTCGTGCCATCAGTCGCGGAACCTTGTTTTCGTCTCAGGAGAACCACAATAAACCTGGTTCCAAACATGAAACGATGAAGAAAAGATAGCCTCGACTATGCCAAAATCGAAGCCCGTACGCCCTGAGACCGAAACACAGCAACCCTCAAACCGCAAAGCGACACCTTACACGTGCAGCCTTTCCCGGCGAAATTCCCGAGTGTCCCCTCGATTCTTCTTCAGCTTTCGTCAGTAAACCTCCCCCCCAAAAAAAAATCCTACAAACGGTACAAATCGCACTAAACGGGACATTGAAACCTTAAACTCCGAACCTAAACCCCAAACCCTCATGGGATGCCTCTAAAGGCCCCTGAAGAGAGCACCTCTAAAGGAGCCCTATCTAAACCCTCATGGGATCCCTGAAAGGATCCCGGAAGGCCCCTACTACCAAACCCTTCTTGTAGCCTTAATAGTAATCCTTGAAGGAACCCATAAGGCCATCCTTTTAAAGGGCTTCTGGAGGGGATCTTTTGAGGGATCCTTTAGAGGAGCCCTTTGAGGGGGTCCTTCGAAACGAACCCTTAAAGGATCCCCTAGCGTTCCTTCTTCGCCAAGGCTCCATGGCTCGAGATGCCGTTGATCCAACGTGGGCTGTGCAGCGAAAGACCTCGGCTCGGTTTAGGGTTTAGGGTTTAGGGTTGTAGAGTTGTAGAGTTGTAGGGTTTAGGGTTTAGGGTTCAGGGTTTAGGGTTTAGGGGTTAGGGACAATAGACGTTGATGCTCTGCTTCTGGGACTTTCGTTCGGCCCTCTCGGGATTGGCCTGAGCTTAAAAAAGGTGAACATGGCTTTCATAGGGTGGCGGGTTTAGACCTTACGGTTTAGGGTTTCGGGCTTAAGGTTTAGGGTTTAAGGCTCAAGGTTTAGGGTTTAGGGCTTAAAGCTTAAGGCTTGAAGGTTTAGGGCTTACGGTTCAAAGTTTAGGGCTTAAGGTTTAGGGTTTGGGGCTTAAGGTTTAGGTTTTAAGGCAAAAGGTTTAGGGTTTCGGGCTTAAGGCTTAGGGCTTAAGGCTTGAAGGTTTAGGGCTTAGGGTTTAGCGTTTAGGGCTTTAGGTTTAGGGTTTAGGGCTTACGGTTTAGGGTTTAAGGCTTTATGGTTTAGGGTTTAGGGCTTAGGGTTTAGGGTTTATGGTTTAGGGTTTAGGGCA